AAAGCGTCATTACTTGCTGGGGGAGAAGTACAGCGAACCAGAAACAGCTCCGTCGTAATAGGGTGGACATCATCTGATTGGGTAGGAGCATCAACTCCCGTGGGGGTCGGGGAGCCAGTAAAAGAACAATGCTTCCTCTATAAAAGTATGGAAAGAAGCAAAGTGTTATGGGGTCCACCCCTTTTTCATACAAGTGGACTCGGCCAGTGTGTACTTGGACTGCTGCCGTTAAATACCCAGAGTCAGTCAGAGTAGAGTGAGCAGTGATCGTGATTGAGTTGGAGGTAGAGTAATAGTGTGAGGTAACCGCTTGTAGAAGTCACAGTTACAAGCACGTAGACTCTACGGAAGTCCTACGTCGAGACTGGATTTACAAGACAATATATATATATATATATATATATATATATATATATATATATATATATATTACTACTAACCGTGTTTCTGGATTTACTAACTGTATTACCAATTGTATTATTGTGTAAATACATTTATTTCTTATATTTCATTCCTGCGTTTGTCATTCATTGGAGACCGGATTTCATCACGGAATCCACAATACAAAGGACACATTTATTAAACTTATTAAGACTTGAGGAAAATTTTGGCCATGAAATCAGTTCATTTAGAGCCGTAGAAAGAAACTCCGGATCCCCGCGTATTTCAGCTGCTTCCCGGACCTATTTTAAAACTAATACGTTTAATCATTTTTGTTCATATATATATATATATATATATATATATATATATATATATATATATATATATATATATATATATATGCTGAGCACTATATATATACATGCCGATCGAGCACTATGGAGGAAAAGGAATTTTAACGGCTGCTGCTACTTTAACGCATCGTTCTTCGTAAGAATTGAGCAATATGGCGTCCGGTATGGCGTTTATAAATCCCGTATATAATGCGTTAAAGAAATTCACTTTCTCTGTCGCACGCCTATAGTCTAAGGCTAACACTCTGACTGATGTCAAATCGTTAGAGTTTCGATCCAGACTTGAAGCAATCGGATGTCTAGCGACGCTGATGAGCTGTGATATAGCGAAACAGTCCGTCTGTGGATGACTCTCTTTCTCACACTCTCTCTCTCTCTCTCTCTCTCTCTCTGTATATATATATATATATATATATATAGTGAGGGTAAAGAAATATTCGTACACCATAATTATTTTTACTTAACATAAGATTTTATAAAAAAATTTATAATCCATACAGTATTTGTATACCATAGCATAATAGTGCAATATGCAAAGAGAAATTTAGAAAAATTTTTTATATTAATGAAATTATAGGAAATGAAAAAAATGTTCAGGTGTAAAAAGTATGCGTACAACATTATAATACTTAGTGTAGCATATTCCTTACTTAATTCAACAGCAGTCAGTCTCTTTCTATAGCTTTTAATCAATGATTTGCATGTTTCCATTGGTATTTTACTCCATTCTTTTTTAGGTTCAGGATGTTTTTCGGAGTTCTTTTAGTATATTAATAAGCGCCAAAATTTCTCTATTGGATACAAGTCTGGAGACTGTGATGAACATTTTAGTGTATTGACATTGTTTTCAATAAGCCATTTTCTCGGAGATTTAGCCGTAAGATTAGGGTCATTATCTTGTTGCAAAACCCATTCATTTAGGAGTCCAGGCCTTACTACTGAAACAAACGAATTAGTGCCCGAAACATCTTGGTATATTTTTGAATTCATTCTACCATCTCACATCTTTAAAATTTCCCTTACCGTTAGTAGAATCCCTCCTACAAACCATGATGTTGCCTCCACCAAATTTCCCTTTTGGTATTGCGTTCGTCAGTACAAAGGTTGTGCCGTCTTTTCTCCAAATGTGAGTCCTTGAATTACGCCCAAATATTTCAATTTTCGCTTCATCTGTCCATAAAATACTTTCCCAAAACGATTCAGGTTTATTCTTATGCTCACGAACAACTTTTAACCGGGCATCTATATCGTTCTTTAAAAGTAATGGAGTTTTTCTTGGAGAACGTGATTTTAAGTGACTTCTATGAAGTTCATTGCTTATTTTTCGCTTCGTAACAAATAATACCTGATGCTTTTAGTTCTTTCTGTATTTCTCTTCAAGTAGTCAACGGATTTTCTTGAATTTTGCGCTGAATTTTTCTCATTGATCTGGTAGAAATCTTGCGTGGTGCACCAGATCTCAATTTGTTCTCAACGGTTTTCATCTTTTTATACTTAGCAATATCGGAAGTAATAGTAGTAAATGGTATGTTAAGGATATCTGCTTATTTCCTGCAGTTTTTGCCTTCCTTCAAGTGTTTGACTATCAATTCTTTTTGCGAATTTCATAATTCCTTGTCTTTCCTCATCATGATAATTATCGTGTATGATTTGTGTGCAGAGATAACCTTATATAATTGCGGAATATTCTAGATTGTTCCGGTAATAATAATTGGAAGAATCTAGAAAAATCTTACAAAGAATTACGTAAATAAAAGTAATTTAAGCCTATTGACATTAAAGACATTTTTTTACGAATATTTTACGCCTCGAAATTTTATAAATAACATAGTTATTTTGTTTTATTTTATTTAATTTTTTTAATTTATTTTATTTTTTTTTTTGGTAGTATTATTCAGTGGAGAAGAAATGAATTTTAAATTTTTCAAAAGTTATAACTATCTTTATTATTAGGATTATTGTCTTCATCTTTGTCACCATATTTATCACAACGTTTCGGCCATCTTATTTCGCTCACTGGGGTAGACTAGTTTGATGGATGTCACTTATTAGTTATGTCCTGTTAATTTCCCTCTGAAAGTTCTCCACTGCCTTAACCGGGTATTGAACTCACACTCTTTGGGTCCTGTCACTGAATCTAACCAACGCCTTTATCCACTGTGTCATGTGTCCTTGAGGACATCAGTGTATGAATTTCTGGGTATTATAAACCTAATGTCTTCAGCAACCATTTTTACCAGTGTTCATATTGCAATTTTGCTGTTATCATTATGTTTTTTACCAGAGCTCATATTGCAACTTTGTTCTTATTATCGCTTTTCTCTGGCTCTCCTTATTACTGGTTCCCATATTGTATTTATTTCTATGCTTGGTCGGCTCAGGAGATTTTTGTGTCCTAGCATATGTGCTGATTCCTTAAGTTTACGAAATTTCTAATGGTGTTCCTTGTCTATGATCTCAATATGATCCCACAGAGGGCGGTGATCTCTCTTCTCTTTCCATATGTGGTCAGCCACGCCAGATTTTTCTACTTCCCCTCGTGTTATATATATATATATATATATATATATATATATATATATATATATTAAGAGAGTGAGTGAATGTGATAGAGAGTGAGGGGAATGAGAGAATAAAAGAGTTAGACAGAGAGGTAGACAGACGAACATGAGATTAAATTTCTTTGTATGCAAAAAAGTGTATATTTCGTTCTGCCGAATATAAATATCTCAAAGTTTGGGAATGAACACTTTCAACCATGCATCTAGTGAGGATTGATTTTGACTGACGTATTTAGCGTAGAAAAATTATATCCCCAAATCACACATGCGCAGAACGCGGACTTTATAATAACATTAACAGAAAATGATGCAGTGGATTAAATTAATTTCTCGTGTTAATGAACGCAAATGTTTTAAAACTAACAAGTTGTATCATTAATTTTTTCACTTGAAATTATTTACTTTTCTCAGAGAAAACATTTTTAATCAAATTCTGTCTCATTAATTTGATAATAATATCGCTTCATTTTAAAAGGACTTATCTGAGCAACACACATTAACTGTATGCGGATAGTAGCGTGTCACAGCGGAGAAAAAAAAACTAAAAATGGCAGCCATATTTAAGTAAGTTTATTATTACATTAAACTCATAAAATATCAAAGACGTTGTCATTTGATTTGCCAGTTCATGTTTATTCCACAGTATTAAACTAAATAAAACCGTTGGTCGAAGTGACTTAAGCCAAAGTGTTGTGAGTTCAAAACCTGGCCACAGCAGAGGTGAACAAAAAATTGGAGAGTTGAGTTACTAAAGGGAAATAACTGTAACTGATATATCGAGAGAAGGAACTAGAACAATCTACCTCCGTGGACGAAACAAAATGTCCGGTTTGGAATTCCAAGGTGTATCACCTGAGGAAGACCGGAGAATCAGCGACCAAAACGTCGCGAATGTGAGAATATAGATCAGGACAACAG